AGCAGGGGTTAGGACTCGGGTTGTTTGAGAAGTGAGTTGGGTAATGAGATATGGGCTGGGTTGATTGTTGTGTATAATAGGCTAGGGTTAATTGGGTTAAATGATAACGAGTTTCAATTGGGATTGGGATTAGTTTGGGCCTGAGTAAGGGGTTAATGATTTTGATAAAAAGAGACCAAGTATTGTATTAGGCTGCTATGAATTTGGATTAGGGTAAGGAATAGCAAACTTAATTCCAAAGCGAACAACAGAAGAAATCTTGGGATGGCAGCGGATTTATTATTATTATTTTTTTTTGAAATTGACAAAATGCTAAACTGAAATTCTGGGCGTAACAGTACCTGCAATGAACAGTAACCCTTTTTTTTTTTCAACTAGGAAAGAAAACAGCTATCTTCCAACAAATCCTTTTCGTTTCTGCTGTTCGACAAGTTTTGGGAAAAAGGGAAGAAAGAAAATTTTGAATTGTAAGAGAAAAATACCCAAGATTTAGCTTTGATGCCAAATTTGATGCAGTACCAATAGGATGATTAATAAAAAAAGAAGACAGATTCAGAAATAATAGGGAATTAAGTGAAGGGGAAGAAGAAGAATTCAACAGAAGAAGGAGAGGGATGCGCCATCAGCCACCAAAATAATTATTCATTCATCAACTGAAAATTACAAAGTAAAGTATGTTTAAATAATAAAGGAAACTCTAACGAGATTGGGCCCGAGCCCATACAAATCCAATTTTCTAAATAATAGTCCAATGAAATAAATAAATATTCGATGTCCTCATCACAAGGGCTGTTAAGAGGATAGCTGCTTAAGTTGCCATTTTTTTTTTTTAAGTTGGAACTATACCAGAGAACTCAATGATGAAATTGGCTTTAAAGGGAAATCTACACATGTTGAATGCGGTCTGTTAAGAGGGGAACCAATTAAATTGTCATTTCTTAAAGTCGGAACTATACCTGATGAAATTGGCTTTAAAGGAAAATCTCTGGAACTTACTAACATTTTTCTATTTGAAAGTTTGTCATACGGTGGTCAATAAGATGCTGAACAATGGGCATTGGTTTATCTTCCAAGGATTTTGCTTCATGTATGCGTTCTGGGTGCTAGAGAACTTTGTGTATTAAAGCATCTGCGTTTTTTATTGCGAGTTGGATTTTATTCCATTTTGCTCCATAGTCAGACTCGTTCTCATATAAGTTTCAAATGCAGGCCAAATACTTTGTTGACGAAGTGAAGGACAAGAGTGGAAAAGACATTGATGTCAATTCATGGGAGCAAGAATATGTAGTTGACCTACCTGAGCAGGAAAATTGGTAAGTGTGCAGCTCTTGTATTGAAACACTTTTTTCCTGAAATGATAGATAATAACAAAAAAGAATGTTCTTCTAAAGAGGAGGAAGTGCACGTTTGAAGATCATCATGTATTTATCTCTCTCTCTCTCTCCTCCCATTCCCACTAACAACTTTCTTTTATGCTTCTTCGTCTTCCAGACCACGTTTGCTTTGTATAATTTAGCTGATGGAAACGGATAAGTGTTTAGATCTCATTTAAAATTTAGAGAGATTTTGGTTAGCGCAGCAGAAACTGATCGCATGCTAAGTTGTTACTTACAAAGTTGAATATAAAATTTTGTGTACTTTTATCACTTTCTTAATAATTATCAAAATAATTATGATTGGGTATTAGAATTCAAACCAATCAAGATATCACACATCTGAGTTTTTTGCTTTTTATTTTTATTTTATTTTTTCCCTCTGAGTTATGGCAACTTGGGCATATTTGCTTTGACCAATCTATGTTAAGGTCTACTTATTTGTGCAGATATGGTACAGTTATGGCTGTAAATAAGTGTCCTCGTTACTTTTAGCATTCAAACCCTTTGTTTCCTGTTATGCTTCTGTGAGGGGAGAAAGGGATTATTTTCTTCTTTGCTCCCGAAAGAATAAAGTGAAAACTGAATCTTATTCATTCTTTACTGTGTTAAACTGCTCTGTCAAACAGGTTTGACTGTGGTATGTTCATGATCAAGTATGCCGACTTCTATAGCCGAGATATAGGATTATGTTTCAACCAGGTAAGCCTTATGCTGGGAGATTTGCTAATCAATGCACGTCTCTCCTTTTTATCATTCCTCGTTTATTTACTTCTTCGCTGAGTATCCTAAAATTTTCTTTATAATGTTCTAAAATTCTGACTTTGGATCTTCCAAGCTTGTCTATATCCTATAAATTTAATCAAGTTGTAAGTGCGAGGAATTGGTATTGGGAAGTTCATGGAAATCATTTTCTGAGGAACTTATAAATTTTGTTAGGGTGCACTGTTAATCACCTGATAGCACGTAATAAACGGTTGACCAGCCACTGTCATGTTAAAACCAAATTAATTTGTATATTTGTTCACTATCCATGGGCAATTACTCATTCTTAAAACCAGCTATCTTAAGACCAGTCAGGCAGAGAGTGGGGAGAGCTCTCCGTTCATGGTTCTTCAGGGACCATGGAGCGTTTCTTTTTTCTTTTTCTTTTCTTAACCCTTTACCTTAGTTTCGAAACAACAATCATTAATTTAACTCGGACAAGGTGAATTGGTCCCTGGAGCAGCTTGAATCGCACTGTATTTGTAGAAACTGTAATATTATTTAAAATTTATTGCTTCATAGCGTTTGTCTTGATACTGTAATTTTTGCAAGGTACGGATAAGATGATACTGTGACTACATTTTGATTTTCTTTCAATTGAACTGGTCCATGGCATATGCATTTTTGGAGAAAAGAACATGTTTTTTTCCCTTCAAGTTGTTTTGTGTTGGTCACCAATTACTGTATCGACCATCTGAGACTTGGTTCTATTTGTGTGCAGCGTAATTGCTCACCTCATTTTTTGTGTTGTCCAAACTCATTTATTATTTGTTATTTCCTTTTTTTTTTTTTTTCTTTTAATCATTTTGGGTGGCAAATCTTATTTCTAATGAACTGATGCGTCTTCCTATTTTGCTGAAAATCCATGTTTACTGTACCTGAAATTTATGTTTTCTTTCTCGTAGGATCACATGCCATATTTTAGACAAAGGACAGTGAAGGAGATTTTGAGGTTGACAGCCGAGTGATGAACAATGAACCTACTTAGCATTTCTTTTGCCATGCTGTACTATCGATTTTTAGAAGCCGATGATATACACCATGAGGCACTCTTTCCATAGACAACATGGATAGCTTGTCTTAATCAAGATCGTGGCGATTATATCCTCAATTGCTGGCATTAATGTTTGTGAAACCCGACAAAGGAACTGGTGACTTGTTTACTTCTTCATGAGCGCCTGTCTTGAGCAGTGAAACTGGTATTTGCAGGGTTGAGTGTGAGAAGTGTTTTGCCGACATTTTCTATTCTTTTTTCACATATTTCTAATGTTACAATATAGTATTGTCTAGTGAACTCACAATTGTATTGCCAGTTAGAAAATATTTGGTTTATGATTGAAATTATGTATTTCGTTTTGGTAACTTAGTAGTTCTAACTTGGTATTTAACTTGGAATCACATCATCTCATTAACTATTAAATTTCATGAATATGTGTGCAAGCAACAGGCCTCGACTTATATAGAAATTCGACTTTTGGAAGAGATGTATTTCTTCGATAAAAGGTCTCCAAAAGTGAGCCATTTTATGTTCGTGTAATCATTACTTTTCTCTATATATAAAAGAAAATGACAATCAAATTAATCTAATACATAATGGACATTGCCGCCCTAGCTCTAACAAATTGTGTAGAAATCAGTGTTTTGAGGCATGAAAAAGCTAGTCTAGGCGAGCTTAGGCATCTCATGTATGGAGGAGATATACTTCAGTAGGGTGGTCGCACTGCGACTAATGAGCTTGTGTGTCATGTATGGAGAGAGAAATACTTCAGTAGGGCGATCGCACCGTCACGTGGTGTGATTACTCAATGTCGAGGTGCCACCTCGATGGGTGGCCCTCCCTTATAGGACGGTTGCACCATGTGGACGGTACGACCATCCTACCGAAGTATTTCTCGTGGAGAAGGCGTCTCATGAAAGGCCTGAAAATTATGATCAACCCTTCTTTTTTTCATAATGGGAGAACTCGCAGCCGTTACCTTTCGAGTGTGCACTGGATAAACCCTCGAATTGATGTAATAGCTTGCAAATCCTCGATCAACCCTATTTTAAAAAGGTTAAACCCTAACCTTAAGGGTCCCCCACCACCCCTGCCCTAGAGCATTGTGAGGGAGGTAAATCGCAGGTTATGCCTTCAATGGTACAGGGTAGAAGGCTGCTTGTACACTTGCACTTACTCAAGAGCCAAATTCATATTTCAGGATTCGAACCCTTGACGCAGCAGCCTCAAGTAAAGTTGGATTTCTCCACCCTCCCCTTTTACCACTTGGAGATGTACCCTGGGGGCTCGGTCAACCCTATTTTGATTGCATGGAAAGTAGGTCTAGGTGTTAAAAGATGTGACTAATGTGGGCCTAAACATCAAAAAACTGATTGAGGCGAGCTTAAGCATCAAAAGGCGAGTGACTTAATTTTTTATTTTTATTTGTTAAATTAAGCCCCTATTTGAGCCCCATTCTTTTATATTCTTTCTCATTATTTTTCTATAATACTCATTTTCAACCACACATTTTTCATTAAAATAATATCACATGAAAATAAAAAAAATTCCTTTCTTTTTAAACACACATTTTCCATCAATCACTATTCCATAATACATTACTTCAAATTAATGGGGCTCAAATGGGGCCTAAATAGAAGGAAATATTGTTAATAATCTTATAATAATAGTAATAACATTAAAAATAAAGAAAGCTACGTGAGATTTATTATTGTCGCATTTTCACACTTTACGCCTTATAGAACCTTGGCTGAAATAACTATCAAATAAAGGTTACTTTTAGGCAAATCCAAACATCCTCGTATAGTGAAATAAGTAGTGCCTGGAATACTAACATATTAAAACCAAATTTTATTTTGCATGTCTAAATCTTTTGTTCTTATCATCTCATATCCGTTGTTCATTGGACCAAGTCCTAGACCATAACTACCTTGAGAAATTCAAGAATTACACTTGTACCGGATCATATAATAACAAAGACCTCAAATTTATAACAAACTTTTCATTTTAATAACAGAAATTTCAATTATAAAAGCTTGATGAGCTGAAAGAAAATTTGTGTAAATCAGAAGAAAATGGCAGATAAACAAGTGATGATAATGGCATTGGATGAAAGTGATCACAGTTTCTATGCACTTGATTGGATTCTCACACAGTTCTTTAGTCCTCCTTCAGATTCTGCTTTCAAGCTCATTATTATCCATGCCAAGACCTCTCCTGTTTCCGCTATTGGACTAGGTGGACCTGGTATTTCTCTATTCCTTCATCAACACACGCCCGCGCGCTCCACGTTCCATGTCTCTACATATGTTGACAATCTCGTCTGAAAGCTTAAAACGTTAGAAAATCTAACACACGAACAATGTCTTTCTCACCAAACCGATTAAACTATTAGACTGTGTTCAACTTTCACTATTACTGACTTATTAACATTACGTACATGTATCACAACTTTTGATGAAAATACTAATTTTAAGGTTTAGGATCCACCGATGTGCTACATCTAGTGGAAGCGGATCTCACGAAGACAGCAGAAAAGGTCATTTCTAGAGCGAAAGATCTTTGCACCAGTAGATCGGTGAGAAAATTTTCGAATTTAGATTAGTTTACCTTTTACGTTTTTTCGTCTGAAAATCCAATATATATTTTGTGGGCGTAGGTAACTGACGTCCAGTACGAAGTGATCAAAGGAGACGCAAGGAACGTCATGTGTGAGGCTGTAGAGAAATTTCATGCATCTGTTTTGACTCTTGGTAGCCATGGCTATGGAGCTTTTAAACGGTACATATGATACATTAAGTCTTATTCTCAATAAATTTAAGTCGAGCAGGTCTAATGCCAAAAAAAAATTGACATATTTTTCAGGGCTGTGTTGGGAAGTGTAAGTGACTATTGCTGCCACCATGCTCGTTGCTCTGTGATGATTGTGAAAAAGCCCAAGCAAATTAATTAAAAAATTTCACTTTCAGTTTTGTTTACCTTTGATTTTCCTACGTTATATTTGATCATTTGTACAAGCTAACTTTCTTGATGGGTACTTGTAATCGTCGAGACCTTGGAACGAGGATGTGATTCGATGTAATTCTTTGTCGTTCTTCCTGTTGAATCAATGTCTTGTATCAACAAAAAACAAACATGAAACAAAATTCTTTCAGGAACACTTCTTGGGATCGAGTATCAAACGCTCTTGATAATCAAACCAAAACTTGCTACTCATTATAATCCAAGATAACCATAGGCAATAGCATAAAAAGTTGCAAGATTACAATGTAAAAGTCGAAAACTGATAATATTAAAGTCGATGCATGAAACTATAAACACCAACATCGCGAAAGTAATTCTACAATAATTCTAATGAAGAGAAGTGAAAAGCCATAATGCATATTTGATAATAGTAAGATGTAGATGGTATGGAAGTTAACAGACTTTCGTATTCGTGGCATTGATGTCCAGACTATAAATAAACATTCAAGTCGAAATTGGTCTCCATTGGATTCTATGAATTGTTATGTATGTTTCTTTCATTTTTTAACATACTCGTCTAAATTTCTATAAGAAAATAAATTTGAAAAGAGCATATAAACGTGGGATAAGAAAATATATTTGAATTTTGCTACATGTACATTAAATTTTGGGGAAAGGGATTTGAACAATCCCCTGGTTCACAAAGCATTGCCCTTAAGTTTTATATATTGGATCACATAATATCATATGTCACTACATTATTTGTCAATTCAAAACTCAATCATCTTTTTCATCCAATTTTTTTCCCTTCACATCATTTTATATAATCCTTTATGTACAAGTGGCATAATCCAATATATATATAACCAACTAATACATCAAGAATATCTATTTCTCACAGGAGCGTGACGATCCCTTCCTATTTGACATATTCCATTTTGTCAATTCAATTCGTGCACTCAATAAATTTTTTTTCCTCAATAAATTCTAACGAAAGCATTCATTCTTTTAGCGAATTGTTGTAATGATATTCCTTACTCTTCTTAGAATGGAGATCGAGTTGATATCTTATTTGGGTGTTCTCTCTTTTGAGAGCCCTCACGCAAGACATTTCCTCATCCATTTATGCCTTAACAAACAACCCCTATCTAAGGATAATAATTAAGAACGTTTTAAAATGATCGAATAAATAAGCCGCAATTAAATCCCTGTTTTTATTATCTCCAATGCTTCAATAGAATGTGACAGGAACTCTGCCAAACCAATATGACAAAGGATTTGATCAAATCAAAGTGACAGAAAAAAATCTACAAATTCGTTTAAATTTGAAATCTCTGTTATACATGCTCACTCGGCAAAATTCATACTTCCTATGCATGATTAGATATGGTTTTATTTTTATTTTAAGAAATAAAAATAAATGAAAACAGTATTATGTTATAAATAAAACTATTGGGAGCAATTATGATGGGTTGTCTATTTATTAAACATCAATGTCATGTAAATCAAAAGGGTAGTGTTATTTATAGTCGCTCTCTTAGTTGTTCTATATGACATACATGTGACAGTTAGTGATTTGATACAGTAATATGATAGTTTTTTATTACTTTATGCAACAAATTACTAACAGCCACATGTATGACATGTATGACGACTACGATAGTAAATGATTACAAATATCATTATTCAAATCTCAAAAGTATTTTAACTTACATGTCACCCAAATGACAATTCATAGAACTTATTAGAGATGCTCTAAACAAGCTAATTAAGTGTTTAATAGCTCAGTATGAAAAGCGTAACTGAATTAATTTGGGCGAAAATTTTTCCACTTACAAGAATAAACATAAGAATTACCCACCATAATCACACATTGAGTAGGAGCACTTATTTTCCCCAAGACATTCCTCAAAACAAGCACCACAATGCAGAGGATTATTCCTAATATCTACACAATTTCCATCACAACAAACAAGCCCAAATGCACAGACCCGGCCACATGACCCGCAGTTATTCGGATCCTTCATTAGATCCTTGCAAAACTTGTGAAAACAACATGTTTTGGCTGATCCAAAATTAGGGTTTTTCTCTGGATCCATGCATACATTTGGATCATTGCCACACCATAAAACCCTTTTTCTCCCTCTGAAAAAATTGTAGTGTGTAGGGTTTTTATCAGATTCTTGAATTCTTCTTGTTTCAGATGATGCAGCAAAGCCATTGGAAATAATTATAATTAAGAATAAGATAAGTAAAGGACGATTTTTGATGAAGTGGGGTTTTTGAAATAAGAGATCGTGAAAATATTTTGAGGAAAAATAAGCATTAAGCATGGAAAAGTGAAAGAACTAAGTGAGAATGGGGTTTTGTACACGATAGAAAAGAGCATTCTTGGGAGAAAAAAAAGCTTGAAGAAGACTGAAAAAGTTATTGATATATTATTGATTATGATCTTATAAATTAAGTAACAAACTTAGTTGTTTTTCAACGATTAGGTTTGGTGAAACTAATATTTTTGAAATGAGTCGAAAGAGCAATAGAGCACCTATATGAGTCATGAGATGATTTTGTTATTCATATGCATGTTGTTGACACACAATTTAAATAATATCTTCACTGAAATAATTTAACCTCACAATTTTTTCTAATAGTAAATTTAGTATTTAAGAATAATTTAAAATTTTCTATATTATGTACTATGATCATTATTTTATGATCATTATTTTATAATCTAAGCTAGTTATACATTTATATATGTTTCCATGAATGCTTAATCCTCTTGGTCAATGTTCGCATGAGCATCTTTTAACTACTCTCATTTTCTATGTAGTAGCTTACAAATGATGTCATCACAAAGTATCAACATTTGACGAGCCTAATCAGAAATGCAATGCAGGCTAATGATTTTGAAGTTCTAACAAACAATGATGCTTAAATATCTTAATTAATTAGGCATCGTATCGAGTTATAACTTAGGTGGGACGAATCCCATATCTGAGTTTTTGGCATTTGGGTTTGAACCAAACCCTATAGCAAGTTTTGTGTGTACTAGATTACAACAAAGTTTGCCTTTTACGATATACATTGCATACCATAAATAATACTTTAAGGCGTATAACAACATACTGTAAAAAGTGAGTCTTTTTTGCACGCCGCACAAGGAACGTCATTATTCATTTTATAGCGTACAACTGAACACTGTAAAAAGCATCCTACTTTTTACGGCGATCAAATTTATACGCCGTTTATATTCCTCTTACGGCGTTCTTTTACGGCTTGCATTTGTACACCGTATAAAGTGTTAAATTCATAACATTACGACATTCTTTATAGTACGTCGTAAAAATCAAGTTTATATTTACGGCATGCCTAAACACGTCATAAATGAGCATTTAATTTTTTAAAAATTATTTATTTATTTCATTACCGTTAAACCTGTAATAATTACAAAATGAAATCCATATATAATTAACTTTTCCATTGTTTTGATAAATAGAAATATTGAGTATGGTTCAATACAATATGCCAGTATAAAACAATCCTCTAAAATTTTCAATTACTATTTTATGTGCTAATTGCCATTCAGCTAATAAGCTCGTGGATATCAAGGTTCTGTCATAATAAAAAATGATTAAACCATATCAAAGTTCACTTCTTCGATGGACAGTTTAGCTATCCCACAAAATATCAACTCCCTGCACACCACAAAAACAATAAGGATATAAATAATAAACATGAAAATCAAAAATATATCACGAAATATATCAATTTCTATCTAGTCAACAGAGTACACCTGACAAGTAAAATACTTGAATATAATGTTAGTAAAACTATAAAGAAAAATTGATTAATATATGATCTTTAACAGAAATGTATCTATAAACATCATACCTTCCAAAAAAAAAAAAAAAAAAAAAATTAAGGAAAAATACTAACATATAGAGCCATAAAATATCAACACATCAAAACAACCCCTTGCAAAACTTCATCATGGCATGTGTGAAGAGGTCCATATAATAGTACATAACAACATATAATAGGAGAACTCCTTGAAAAAAGAAAATAGAATTATGAAGATAAGCATCAATGATTGAGGTAATTTCTTTCGAATGCCGTCATGATCTCAAGTCATTTTATATAAATAATCATTTTGGCAGCCAAGTAAAAACTTAATGTTCAATTCAAATAAACCACCTATCAACTTCTTGATTTTAAACAACTCAATCTTCAATTGAGACCGAATGTAAAGGTAAATAGAATTAAAATTGAAAAGAAGTTAAGCATACCCAATCTTCAATTGAGACCGAATGTAAAGGTAAATAGAATTAAAATAGAAAAGAAGTTAAGCATACTTTTGTTGTGATTACGGCAAATCCTCTTCGATGTACCTAATTGGCCGTGCAATTATACTTCCTAATGCATCTTCAAGAAGAAAAAGCTCACGTGTGGGGCGATATAAACTGACATTATCGATCATTTCATTAACCCAAACTCCAACATTCATTACTAAGGGGTACATGATGTACTAGATCACTTGGGTTTGTTGATGCAATTTCATCCTTTGTAACAATATTAGCTTTCCCAAACCAAGATAACAATCTGCATTTCTTATTTTGAAGGTCATCTAATCTATCCAAGCTTCTGTCTCTAGGCTGTGAAATCCATATCCAGATGTACAATTTATTATTTTGAATATAAAAAGTATATGTAATTTAAAATAACATTCACTGATTCTAGTTTTCCGCTTACATTATCTTCTTGTTCAGTACTTTTACTGTTAACTTGAAACAAAGCTTTTAATTCTTTAGTTTCATCCATCAACTCTTGGACATGAGATTGCAAGTTATGATGGTGCACCAAAGCATTTAACTTTGAAGGAGTCGCATCAAAACCAAGAGCTCTTACCCGTCCTCAACGTTCTAGATCAAGTACTTTTGCAACACCATCGTCTTCAAGGGAGTGTTTGTTTGGAGAGGTAACCGTTTCTGAATATGCTTTTATTTTGTTCTGATATGAGAAAATACATTGATAGGCCAAAATTACCTAATATAAGCTTTGAATGATAAAAAATTACTAATAGCAATATAACATTACCAATGTTTCCCTAGCTGACTCATTAAAAGGTTCACCATTTTTTCGCGTATGTCCTTGAGTATAAACATCATCTCTTGTTATGGGATTAGGATCTTCGCTTTCAGCATGCTGCATTTTACATATTTCATTTGTGGTAGTTTGTAAACATTTATAATTTTTCAAACAAATTTAACTTTAATTTAACATTTTTTACCATTTCAGCTTCTATGCTATCAAAGCCCTTTCTACTTGTTGTATGTATCATGGTTTGACTTGCTCTCATTTTTTTGAATCTCTCTATCCTCTACTTCTATCTCTCTATTCTCTCCATCACACATGGCCGCTATTACCGAAGACTACAACAAATCTGGTTGGTGGTGGTGGAGGTGTGTGTGCTGTGGGTGCAATAGTGTTGGCGACACAACCAATATGTGGTGTTTGACCAGTTGTGGTGTAAATGTGGTGGGTTGGTAGGTTCATATTTGGTTGGTGGTGGTGGTGATGTTGCTGTGGTCGTGGCGTTGTATTGTTATCGTTGGTGGTAGTTGTGGCGGTGGAAGAGGTAATGATGACGATGGAATGGGATGAAGAGTGTTTATGACCAAGTATTGGTGGGGGATCGGGGGTTGGGTGTTTGGTGTTTATGACCAACTATTCGGTTCTTTGGCTAACTTTAAACTGTGACCTTAAACTATGATAATTTCTAACTAAAAAAATAATTTGTGACCAAAAAATTTGAAAATATGTGACCTATGAATTTTTTTGATCTGTGATTTATAAAATTTGTGATTTGTGACATCTAAATAATTTGTGATCAATTAATTTAATAATATACGACCAATAAATAAATTGTAACTAGACTTGGGTGTGGTTTCGACTCCAACCCAAAACAAAAACTAAATTAATCGATTTGGTTCGGTTAATCGGTTTGGATTTTTAGTCCAGATTTAATTTTTTTTAAAAAAATTGTTCGAGTTTTGAGCCCACTTAGATTTCAAGAACTAAAATAACCGAATAATTTTATATTATAAGAACTTTTGACTAACAAATAAAATCAGATTAATAGAGACAGATCAACAAAACTTAAAAAACTTTGTTACTTTTTTATGTATCATGTAGTTTGACTGTTTGAATAGGAAAAAGTGCTAAGTGCAACATAATGAGCTTGTGAAAGGAAATGTCTGGTGCTATTACTTAACGGAAACATCATAAATTGGAGAGAATCAATATATAGTTATGAGATTATGACTTATCTTTTGACTTTTATTTTTCTTAAATTAAAAAAAAAAGTAAATATGTAAGTGGATTGGGTTGGTTCAGTTAATCAATGATTTAAGATTTCAAATAATGAATGAACCGACCAACCATAATTTTTTTTAAAAGAAAATCAAACCAAACCAATTATCTATGTCGAATCGACCCCCAGTCGATTCGGTTTGATTGGTTTGATCGATTTTTCAATTTTTTTGTCTAGATCTATTTGTAGCCTATAATTATGTACAAGTGGCCATTAATTGTATAATTGTGACCTTATTACATTTAATTAATAAATAAATACCTTATTTTTGTATTTTTTAACTTAAGACCTAAAAAATGAATTGGTGAACTTCCCCCGTTTCAACCCCATTTTTTCTTAAAAAAAAATGAAGGGAAAATTGCAGTAGAAGCCAAACATTAGCATACTTTTTCCAAACTTTTGATTTGTTGCAGCCGTCACCCCTAACCTTTCCAAACGTTGCAGGTAAAACCTTTTTGGACGATTTCCATCCACAATTCCGTTAGTTGACCAAAAATTTAACTTTGACCATATTTTTAATATTTTAGAAAGGGGTAAAAGAGTAAATTTTCATTTATCACATTAAATAAGAATTAAATAAAAAAACACAACCCTCTCTGCCTCTCTTCTTCTTCCTCCCACCCCACCTCCACCTCAAATCCCAAATTCCACACCAACCACTGCCACCTCCACCTCCACCTCCATCTCCAAGAGAATTTTTTCATTGAACAAAACCTAAGAAGATAGGGGTCCCATTCACCAGAATCTAGATAATAAGATGTGTTCCTTTATTATTTTTTTTCCCTCATCATTCAAAAAAATTTGCAGTGAAAGTGTCGTTGAGTGGAGCCAAGAAGGAGTCGTAGGGGGAGAGCGGGTACTGCACACCATGTTCGCACGCATCCTTATGGGCTCTTCTTCTTCGTCTTCCATTTCTTCTTTACCCCCCAGCGTATTTTAACTACTATCTCACTCCCTACGCCTTCCTTAATTAAACCAAGCAATGAAGCAAATCCTCTAAAAGAAAGTTTGTTCCTGTTAAGTCAAATACGTTGTTTTCTCGACTGGACTTTTAGGGATTCTGTTTATATATTTCATTTTGGGGGAAAAAGGAAATGGATCCGTGTCCTTTTGTACGATTAACTGTAGGGAATTTAGCGTTGAAGATTTCGGTGGCGTCCAAGCCAACGAGGTCATGGTGCATCCTTCGTTCTCTCCGTGTTTTTGCAAAATTAAGCTCAAGAGTTTCTCATTACAAACGGCGGTAGTGCCGTACATTCAGCCAGAGAAAACCTAGTTCCCTGACGAAAACCAACAAATACTCATCGTCAGTTTCCACCTTAGCAAGTCTGATCTTGACCGGCTCAACGGGAAGTCGTTGCTTTTTGCTACCACCAAGAATTGAGGTGGAGATTTTGTGGAGGTGGCGGTGGTTGGTGAGGAATTTGAGATTTGAGGTGGGGTGAGAGGAAGAAGAAGAGAGCCAGAGATGGTTGTGTTTTTTTTTTTTTTTTTTTTTTTTTTTTTTTTTTTATTTAATTCTTATTTAATGTGATAAATGAAAATTTCTCTTTTACCCATTTTTAAAATATTAAAAATGTGGTCAAAATTAAATTTTTGGTCAACTAACGAAATTGTGGATGGAAACCGTCCAAAAGGGTTTTACCTGTGACGTTTGGAAAGGTTAGGGGTGATATCTGCAACAAATCAAAACTTTGGGAAAAGTCTGCTAATATTTCATAGGTTTGAGGCTTTTGCTGCAATTTTTCCAAAAATGAATTTTTGAATAGGTTTTTAACCTCATTTTAACAACACATTTTCAATAAAATAATATTACACGTAAATTCAAAATTTTTCTTTATTTTTTAACCACACATTTTCCATCAATGCACTATTCAAAAATTCATTTTTTGATAAAAATGGGGATCAAACAAACAAGGGCTAAATACCTAATTTATGATTTTTTTTTCCCCTTAGGATCACGCGTCTCTCGAATGGGTTGCTTTCACTTGAGCCTAGCTTTTACTCAAGGCCCAAGTGATACTAGAAACCTGGAGAAATTAGAGGCCCAATTATTTGAGCTTTTCTGGTTGCCGCTTTCGTTTGATGAACTTGTTGACTGGATCAGACGGTTTTTTTTTTTTTTATATACATTATTTTATTTTATTTTATTTATTTTGTTGGGTGTTACACTCTTGCTGAGATTACACCACGCGGTTAATTTTCAACCCTAAGATCAGTCTTCCGAATGGTTCTATTAAAAATTTAAAAGCAACATTTTGAAAATAGATCAAGAAAAGTGAAAGGACTAATTGTCAAAAAGTAGAACCGAGATTGAATTGGGGTCAAATATGGTTAATAATAAATAAATAAATAAATTTCATATAGTAAAAAAAATGTTAGATAACAGGATCATAATAAAAATCCACAATTCGAGTTGTTGATACAACAATAAAAGAGAATGCCAATGCCCAACCATGAAAAGTACTATAATAAGTAGGTAAAAATTGTAGATTATGATCAAACTAAGGTCGACAATATTGGCACCATTTTATAAATCCACTACATCTCAATTGCATTAAAGGTCATTAATCATTATTTATTGTTATATTTATGTCCCTAACTTTTCTTTATCATTATTCTTATCTTAATCTTCCATTAGTTATCGCATCTTATCATGAACGGCAATTTCATTCATAAATTATTTCGGTATGATTTAAAATGAGGGATAAATAATCTTTTCACTCTCTCTTAGATAAATTTTTTGACGAAAATCATTAAAGACAAGAAGTGATAATTAATATAAAGTTATGATGAGAATGTACTGAATAAAGTTTGGAGTGAGAACGAGTAAAGATTTTGAACTTTTCATACAACTATTTAACCTAAATTAATGTTTGATTTTAACTTGAAAATATAAATTTATCCAAACAAACCATTAAACCACTAACAAATATTTAAAAGAAAATATTTTAAATTACATTACAGAAGAGGACTTTGCTATTTGTACATTCGGAGTTGATATTTCGGATGATACTCCTCTCACAAGAGGTGGCCACGATTTATTTTATTACGTGTGGACCCCCTTTCTTGTGAGGGAGCGTTATTCGAGATGTCAACTCCGAATGTACAAATAGCTTTATTGTCACGGAAGATTAGGGCAAGAATTGGGCCTGGCCAAACTTGAGGCCATAAAATTGACAGGCTAAAGCCTTCAAACTCAACGTGGCATGTCCAGATGACATTTCCTTCAAAACATTACACACTATAAAGGCCGAAAAGCTGAAAAGAAAAAAGAAAAAAAAAAAAATAAGAAAAATGGAAGAGGAGAAGGGAAAGATTGAATCTATCAGGGAATGGATCGTGGAGCACAAGCTTCGAACTGTTGGTAATTATATCAAAATCCCATTTTTACATATGTGTTTATATATGTATTTTATATGTATATGGCCTGGAATTTTAGTTTTCTGCGGTGGGAAACTTCAGGGGCTTCTATTGGCAACTGGAATTATGGGGTTCGATTGCATATAATTTGTGTGCGTGCGCGCGTGTGTGAGGCCTTGAATTTTTGTATTGATTTTGTGGGATTTTTATTTATTTATTTATTTTTTTTTTGAAGGCACTTTATGGGCAAGTGGAATTCTAGGTTCGTTGGCATACAATTGGTCTCAACCCAATATGAAAACTAGCGTCAAGATAATTCATGCTAGGTATGCTTTTCTGCTATTTGATTTTTCTTTAATTTTTTGGATTAATTTTGTGAGCCCGTGAAAAGTGAGAAAATATTGCAACTTTTAGATAACAGTAGCTTGGATGGTTTGTATGGAACCCTACCTTCTTTAATCCATTTGACACGTGCAATTTCTTTTCGGGTGATATGCCTGGAATTATGCTAAGAAATGTTTTCGTTTGTTTTGCGCGTGCTGTATTTACCATTTTCTTTTTGCTGTAATGATGCTGTAAAAATTTATATGTATGATTAACCATTATTGTATTTGTGACGTCTCCTTCTTTTTTTTTTTAATAGAAATGGAGAAATCAATTATTTCTCATAGTTAATCACATGTGAAATTAGTTCTGGGCAATATAGGCTAAGTTGATGGAATTGAGTTGGTGGCGTTGCATATTTGAGATAGTACTGGTGGATATAATCATAGAATTAGAGTGAATGTAATGCATAGTTGAAAGACAAAATCTATTTTAAAGATCCCAACTAAGTTCTGTTCTGCAGACCAGTGGTGTTGAACTTCTTTATTCATCTGAATTAAAAAAGGTCAGTTAGGTTTTCATCATTGAGTATTAAGAGGACATAATGTGCTTAAGATTATGAATGTGGATGCATTAAAATGGATTAAGTGTCCACGCTGAAAGATAACAAAAAGGGTAAGGATACGCTCCAATTTGTAGAATGAGCACCAATGGAGGATGAAATAAGTTAAAAGACAATTTAAATGGTTTAGACATGGCTTGTCTACATTTACATATCTCCTATTCACAAGAAAAACACAATTGTTGTTGAGTGTGGTGGGTAGTGTAGAGATTAACCAAAATTAATAGGGCTTTAGACAGTCCAAAGTTGTGATTTCATTACACATCTTAGAAGGCATAGCTCTTGAAATGGCGAAAAATGCTTTGTGTAGCTGATTCTAAATTTATTGAGAACAAAGCTTATGTGTTATAATTGTTCTTGTTTTTCATTTGTTGGAGAACTAGCCCATCCGTGATAAGTAATGAATAAGATTTTATTGAGTTCAGTTGAGTTTTCATTTCTTCGAGCCTTCAAGGACTATATTTTGACAACGCTACCGTAGTTGTAATTAAAAATGATTATAAACCAAAAAGCAAGGTTTTGGATAAAAACATTGGAAGCTAATTTTAATCATGATGTGAAGCTTCAAAACTAGAAGGCAAACAGATTTACTTTGTAGTTTTTTCTTGACATCTGCAAGGATTTGATGCAACGTGAGAACGCTTTTCTTCAACTACAACATAATAGATATCATAGTTGGTGAATGGTGATCTTAATAATGGAGTGTTGTTTTCTATCAGTGATAATGGTTTGGAAACAGGGGAAGATGAAAGAAATGTTGATAAGGTACCAGAAAATATAAAGCTAATCATGAGCTACTTAGAAGGGTGAGGGATGGAATTGATAAGAAAATGAATAGAATGAGAGAAATTGGACTAAGAACTTTAGAAGCTTTCTTTCAAGGAATTATGATGTTCTGATGTGAGCAAAGGGGGAAAGGAAGAGTGCAGTTTGTAGCGACCTTTTTCTAATTTTATGGACCTTTTTGCCTTTTAGAAGTTGTGTCGTAGGTACATGTTCTCTTTTGTAGCGATATTGTGTCATTTGCATCTATTATTCAATGAACTTTGATTTATTACAAACAAAGCAGAGAGAGCAGATTTTGTTTTATTTATGATCTGATTTTCCTATACTAATGCAGTCCTCTTTTCAATGTTGAAAGAATTTCTACTAGTTATTCATAGTGCTATATTTTGATTGGAAAATCAACTTAAAGTTTGCATGTTTTGAACTGGTTCGTACTGATTCTATTCTAGGAGTTTGCCTGTGAAAATGCCACAGTTACCTATTCATTTATGCATTAAGCCCTTTCATTACAAATAAATCATCAAGGCAATCTCATCACTGCTATAGCATTGTCTTGAAATTCTGAGATTCGATCCTTGGAATTCTGTTTACACAAATACATATTACTTTTCTTTGTGGAAGCGAGTGGGATGTCTTGATGTGTTATATGGTTTTTGTTACTTGTGTCATAGCACGAGTATTGAAATTATGTTCGTCGCAAATTAGGTTGCATGCACAGGCACTTACTCTTGCTGCATTAGCGGGGGCGGCCATTGTTGAGTACTATGATCATAAAAGTGGAGCAAAAGCAGAACGTGTTGTGAAACTTCTCGACATTGATGAACATCGACCAAAGAATTGAAGCTTGGCTTGATGGATAAACTCTCAAGTTTCAATTATTGTAACCAATGATGCACTCTTCAGATCTTGAAGTGGACTGGTTTTTATTATCAGTTAGGATTACGAGTAATATTGTATACGGTTCATTTTGCTTAGCCCTGGCCATTCCTATTAAGATCAATAATTTTCTTCCTATTAAATGCTTCATAACTATGTTGTATGGATGCAAGAGTTTTTAACAGGAAATTTAAAAGAATGGAAGCCAAAACGGAAATAGCTTCATTCTAGATGTTCTTTGTTTCTTAGTATTTTGGCTTGTTATTGTTGGGATTTTGGTGTTTTTAAAGTTACTTTTCTATAAATTAATTTAAAAGCCCTGGGACTTGCGTTTAGAAAAATAAGTTTTGTTTTCAGCTCTCTGAATTAATTCTCAAATAAATAAAAATTTAATGAAACTATTGATAATTCTGCTATTTAGTACATGTTTTGTGCAAATTAAAAGTTTGCTAAAAAGTTAAATCAAAATTGACAATTATTTTTAATCACACATGAGATTTATAATGTTTAATAATAAATTTTATCCATTTTTATTATAATAAATTAGAGTTGGACGTGCATTGAACGTAGTGCACGTTATTTTAAAATGTTTTATAAGTGCGGTAAAATAATATTTGATACAAATTTGTTGAGAGGATTGGATGAGTCTAAAATGAATTCAAGAAAATAAAATTTAAGATAGAAATTTAAGATAAAGAAAATTATACTATCAAAATACAACTTCTATAATCAAATTTTTGTGATGATAAAAAACTACAAATAAACAACTTTTTTTTTTATGTAACATTTGGTACATAAGAATTAATTGATAATACATGAATTTAAACATCCTTTAAAGTTCCTAAATTCTAAAATGGAAATAAATTTATCTATGATAACTCTAAATTCGTGTAGATTAAGATTCATCAAGTTAATATTTATTGAGTCTATATTAATTTGAACGTTAATTAATTGAGAATTAATAAAACGAAATTCATGCATGACAATAATTTTGTACTATTTATTATATATTAAAAAACGAAATGTAAGGTATCATTGAAGTAGTTAAATTTTGGTAGAGTCAAAATCCTCCAAAAAATTATTCTCACTTGATGTGATTTTAATAAATTAGTAGATAGATTGATTAAAAATTACATCAAATGGGACCTAAATTCCTAATAATTAATTCCAAGTATCAATTTTTTTTTTTAAATAGCCGAATCACGTTTCTTAGAGAATTATTTTTACATAAAGTAGTTTGTTGCTTATTGTTTCCCTAATTTCGAACCATACATCTCTGAGTATCTTATGATTTACAATCGGGCAGCTAAAATATCTTTACTATATCTTCTTCATGATGATCTTGAGATGGTGCAATTATTTTCATCTAGTATTTTTTCATATATATATATATATATATATATATATATATATATATATTAGTGACATTAGCAAATGTACATAACATAATATTTATTTATTTATTTTGTTTGAAGTAGATGTTCTACTAATTAATAATTCCCATTAATTGATAAATGATTGTACAATGTATCATACTATTAATTTAGGGGTGACAAAGTGTAATAGTACTAGTTTCAAGATTGACAAAATAAATTACTTAAAAGTAAGTTTGATTTATTTACAAATGTGGTTCAACAATCAACATGTAAGCTTCTTTGGAAGAAAGTAGAAAATGAAAATGTTTGCCCAAGGTTTTTATTATTTTTTTATTTTTGGGGGAAATTAATCCAGTACCAAAGTATTGGGACAAAATGAAAAGATTAGCTTTTATCAAATTTTTATTCACGAGAGGCATTTTTATTTTAATTTCGTAGTCCAACTTTCAACATAAAACGAGTATTCATGTGTAATACTAATGAGATAATTAAATAAGAAGAAATGTAAGAAATTAATTATTAGGGTTTGACTTATGATATTTAGTGAATCTTTAAAAATATAAAGTTGACTCAACTCAATTGAGAGTTTCAATTCGACTTAGAGTGTGTTTAGGAGTCATTTTTATGTAAAAATGCATTTGGGAATAGTAAATTTATGGAAAATGTGTGGTTGAAAAATAAGAAATTTTTTTTTACTTACGCGTAATATTATTTTAAGGAAGAATGTGTGGTTGAAAAGAAGAAAGAAAAAATGTATTTTGAAAAAAATGGATACCAAACGGGGCCTTATTTTTACACCATTACATTGCACATTATGTCCATGAATTGTTGAAACATTCCTAAAAGTAAGATTGAAATGAATAAATGATTAGAGATCAAGTTAAACTAGTTGTGTAAAATTCTTGATTTGCAATTTTCGGGGAAAAAAAAAATTCTTTTAAACAAGTGGGCCGTAAAATGGTAAAAGAAAGTTTCTTTGTGAAATTCTTGCTTTATGAGTAAGATTTAATTTTCTTTGTTTTCAAGAAAAGTGCATTGAAGAATTTCTCATGTATAAACAAGGGAGAGAAGCTTAAGGTTAAAGTGTACATTCGGGGTTTAAGGATTGACTTTGTCAATTTATCAATATGGAAACAAGAAAGTATAGATTTAGGAATTTGTAGGGATAAAATGGATATTTAAGTAGAGGTGTCAAAATGAATTGAATTGTTCAAGCTCGATCAACTCGACTTGACTTTCTATCGATCCATTTGATGCACTTTTAATTTTTTTTTCCTCATTCTATTAATAAAATTAGGGATAGGATTGGGTTTGGTTTGAATACAAAGAAAAAGCAAGGAACTTTTGATGTATATTTTCAGAAAAAAAAATGAATTGGAAAATAGAAGCCATCAAGTAAAAATTCTTTAATGTGTTCTAAAATTTTACATATTTAAGAATTAAAATTTTATATTCCCTTTGTGTCTTAAAAGATTCTAATATTTAACGTGATTATTAATTTAGTATATTGGTTTGAATTGTAACCGAAAAAGATTATTATTTAAACAAAGTTACTAATTTAGAAAATTCATTTATTGAGGTTTTACTATACAACATTAATAAGAAATACATTATTAATATTTAGTACTACATTAATTATAATAAAATAAAGCTATATAAAGCTTGTTTGGCCAAGTTCAAGAAATAGGTAACTTTTAAGTGCTTTTTATTTACAAACACATTCAAACGACTTAGGGAGTGTTCTCTTTGTGTTTCAGTTTTGTGTTTTGAGTTTTGAATTCATTTTGAGTTTTGTGTTTTGAGTGTTTGTTTTGAAATTATTGAAAATGCGTTCTTTTTGTTAATTTCTCAAAACAAAAAAAAAATGATTTTTTTTTTTTAATTTTGAGAATCACCACAACACCACCTAAAAAAAAAAAAAAAAAAAAGTTGTTTCCCGCGTTTTCAATTTTTTCAAGTTTTACACTGAAAACGTTCAAAACGACAAAAAAGTCGTTTTGTGTTTTCTTCACAAATTTTTTTTCGTTTTCGAAAATTCGTTTTCAAAAACGGGAAAGAGAACACGTTTTCACCGTTTTGAAAAATCGAAAACAGAAAACGGCCCGAAAACAGTAAAGAGAACAGGGCCTTAATTTTTCCTATTTTCGAAGTTTATAAGAGGTATTTATTCAAGACATAACTCATAACTCTTTCGCTACTATTAACATAAATAAATTAGAATTATTTATTTCAAAAGAATTAAACATATTTAATTACAACTAAACTTTTTAAGCCAAGCCAAATATGTAATGTATAGCCAAACTTAACAATTAAAATTAAAAAAGAGTAAAAGATACTTTTATGTAACTTATAACTTCCAAACATTTTTTGCATAAATTAGTTATTTTTATTTTAATTACAAAATTTTACTTAAGATCATGTTTGAGCCACATTTTTTTTCAAAAAAATACATTCTCCAACAGTAATTTGACATCATCTCAACCACGCACTCTTCAATAAAATAATATTATACGCAAATCTAAAATTTTTCTTTATTTCTTAACCACATATTTCCCATCAATAAATTATTCAAAAATACATTTTCATTCTAATAATATGGTTGAAACAAGGGTTAAAAGATGACTCTTATCTTATTTATTGTCAAAAAAATTATGATACTTCAATTTTTACAAAATAACTTATTTTGATTCAATGCTTAAATGGATTGCTAAGTAAAATTTATCACGCAAGTAAAATAGATGATTATTCTTTTTAAAAAATTATTCTTTAGTGTAATTTGAAATCTTACGAGAACTTGATTAAGTTTATTTGACAAAGATAAAACAAAAATTTAAGTTTATCCAAAAAAATTTAAAAAAAGTTTAATGTTGACTCGAAATCCGACGGTGTTGAGTGGCCACAAATTCAGGCTCCTTTTTGTCCATGTGCATGTTATTCGCACAGTTAGACAACCACATTAGATTGCTCGTGATTGTAGTGGCGACGAAAGGTACGATGATCACTCCACGTTCATGTCAAATGAAGAAGAAGATATATTTGAGTGTAGCAGGGATACAATGGACAAGAGTATGAGTGCTGAATTTGAAAAGAGAATATCGAATATTGCAATTTATGAGTTTGATGCTCAAAGTTGCATTACTATTCTAGACACTAAGTGTAAGGTTTCATACTAAGAGAAAAGAGGTGGTGTCTATTAAACACTTGACACATTGCCACATCCCAAAGGCACACCGATCGATCTCAAAAGGTGTCAATTCCAACTTGTTGAAAATTTACTAAATCATGCATAGCAAAAAATAAAATAGATTTCAATTTCGACAAGGATCTACTTTGTAGTTAGACATAAAATGTTATATGAATTATGCATTTGTAGAATTTTGCAAGATCCTTTACTTATCTTGAAAACAAACAATCACGATCTGCAATCCATAATTGTCCAATTGTCCAACATCCAATAAAAATCCGCGCAAGAAACAAGGTTGAGAGAACTATGATTTTTTCTTTTCTTGTGCTAACAAGGATATAATTACGTTCTATTATATTTTTCAAATCCTAATAGCCTATTAATAGAAGTCTAAGTGGGCTTGACCCGTCGCTTAAACTTATCTCGATCTAATATTTAAGGAGTCCAATTAATTATATTTTGTCAATAAATTAATTAATTAATTAATTAGATTAATTAATTTGGGCTTATTAACAAGCAGCCCAATTAATTAATTGTTCAACACTTGTCAATTAATTAATTGCTCAATATCATTAGATGCCTAACGACGTAAATTATTATTTTGATCTAATAAAAATCGACAAATTAAAATACCCCATTTTATTTTATCACCTATCCACATCCATCGTCCCAAATTGATGTAAAGTAATGTGTCGGGGCAATACATGTGACGATGAATGTCATGTGGAATGAAAAAATAAAGCTTGTTTGTTTACTGTAAAACTATAATGCCTCTATTAATATACTCCGATTAATTACGAGATATGGAAGAGTGTTAATCTCGATTATTGCTCATATCTTTCATCCCACACTTAAGTCAATATAAGTTGAAACTTTTTTCAACTTATGAGCACACCTTGACCAACGATTTTATTATCAACTTAACCAAATGAAAATGTAAATCACAATCTCTTACTATCTAAAAATGACGAATCTTCTATTGATAATTTACAACCTTCATAGGATTCTTGACATGCCTGAACGTTAAAACAACATCCAACATCATTAAAGTATGATCATCCCCATATAAGGCACTATGATGACCTCAAATCGAATGATCAATTTCGCTATCGAACGTTAAAGATTAACTATTGACACCCAAATAATTATCCATGTGAAATCTCTCTAGCATGTGTCTAATGTTGTGTTCTTTAATGAAACATTCATATGTTCATTTAAATGTCATTCGATCTTAACTTATGAATAAGCTATTTACTTCAAAAGTGAGGAATACCATATGCGATGATCTAATCCATAATAATGATATTTGTATTTCGTTATTACTTACAATCACGGATAATTCAAGATTCAATCATATATAATTTATCTCACAATCAAAACTCTATGTGATTAACAAGTTATTAAGACTTGAATCTTCGAATTCTATTAGTTTAATAAATTCAGTTTATTGATAGATCTTGCCAAAAATAGAATGCATCAATTATTATATTAAAAGTGTATGTGTCTAAAATCGATTCGTTCTAGGACATAACACTTAAACAACTATCATAGACTTGTCGTCATTTTTAACTGGCTAAAAAGAAGCCATTATATATCATAGGCATGCAATCTAAAAAGCTCATCGAGCAAATCTACTATAGGACTATCAAATTTGTTAGACGTATTGAGCATCTTTGTGGAAAATAATTTTTTGGTTGATTGCGGAAGATGCCTTTCATAGGATGAATAAAACCACTTGTATGCTAGAGTTTACAACCTTTTTCACCCCCCGGAATATAGTTCAGTGGTGCAAAAGATAAGAGTGAGGTTATCTCATGCCTTGCTGGCAGCCGCAATGTGGGGGTTCGATTCCTGAGAAATGGAATTTGACTCCTTGTAGGCGCAGTGTACAAGTAACTCTTGTTTTCTGGTCTGTTGGAGCACATTCCATAATTTACCTCCTTCACAAACCTCTAGGGGCGCGACAGTGAGGACCCTCAAGGTTGGGGTTCAACCTTTGAGTTTATAGCCTTTTTCATTTGTGGGCCCCCTATATACACAAGAGTGTAACATGTGGTGGAGTTGTTCATAGGATAGGCCAAACACTTTGAAAATTCACTACAGCATGAGATGATACCTTGTCTCGAAAGTGCTACTGAGGTTAAGGTATTGTCACTTCGAACGAAGTGCCCCAATCACCTCATCCAGCTACTTAATCGCTTCAAAGGGAGTGTGGAAGGGACTAGGCGACGCGAAGTGTGGACCTCCTTGTAGAACAAGGCATAATATTTATCCAAGTGCATAATTAGTCAAATGTAATTTTTTATTTACATATTGAGTATTTTCATTTCCAAACATTTTGGATAAGCTACTTTCTTACTAGCCACTTTTAAGCAAAAAATATTACACTACAATATTTTCAACTTAGATTGATAAAAAAAAAAAAAAATCTCTTATTTAAAACTTGCTTATTTATTCATGTTACAAGTACTCGTTTTGAGCTAAGACAATTAGACAAACATGGTCTTAAGAACGTGAAAATTATTATGGAAAGAAGCGAGAGTCACGCCCCAGACTGCAATCTTACGGCGAAATTTCATGCAAAGCCCTCCTTCTCCTTCTCCGCCATCATATATCACTATTTCTATTTTTGTCTTTCTCACATAACCCC